TTTGAACCTTTTTTTTTTGAACTGTTTGAACCATTTGGTGGTCAACCGGTTGGTCTCCCCAATGGTCATGCACAGTGTTTTGGTGAAATGCGGAGCCTGTCCTCATTTTGGTGAAACGTTTGGTGAAACGTTTGGTGAAATCTCGATTTGATATCAATTTGGTGAAATCGTTGGAGCATGAAAAGTGTTTTTTTCACCAAATTTTAAATTTGATGCCAGGTTTGGTTCAGGGGTGGAGATGGTCTTAACAACACGACACACAACAGCTTCAAAACACTAAACACAATTTTTCAATTTTAAAATTTTAAAATTTTTAAAAAATATATATATTTGGCTTAAAGTGATTGGTACATCTAACAATATTTAATTTTAAAATTTTGAAATCTTTAAATTTTATCTAAACATATCTAATTTAAAATTTTGATTTTTTTTTTAACAATTTTAGAAAGAAAAAAAAAGAGGCTCAAATCTATTAGTGTATTATCTAAATTTTGAATTATTACACATGCATAATATAACTGGATTTAACATTTAAATTTTAAAATTAACTAAAATATCTAACTATATGATTTGAGGAATTTCAATACTTAAATTTTTTTTTTAATTTTTACAAAATTTAAGTTGCTAAGTGTCAATTTTTTATTAGCTATCCATGATTTTATCCTAAATTATTGGTCAATGGTTGACCACTGTTAAATTCTTTTTATAGGCTATAATGATAACAATTGACTACCATCAATTTAAAATTTTTCTATCAATGTATTTAAAAAAAAAAAATCATCATCATGCATACAATTTAAAAATTAAATATATTTTATTCTATTGCAACTTTATTAAAAATGTAAATTTATTTTGATACTATTCAAGAAAATATATATGCCTTTATTTTGATATAACAAAAATAAAATTATCTTATACTCATACATAATCTCTCATAAATATCTTATCTTTTTAAAAATTTTGATTATCACCAACTGAATTCTCACATTTCTCTCTTCTTTTTTTTAGGATGTTTATTTTATTTTTATCTTTTTTTAAAATTAGATTTGACATCTATCTTTTTACCTATTTATCTATATCTATACTATATATAAGGAAATATATTATGTACTCTAAAATTTTCAAAGTCTCGATACTCAATTCTCAAACAGTTGATATTCTTTTTCCTACATGTCACTCTCTCAAAGTTATGTTTTCAATTTTTCTTCATCCTTATTTTTCTCCAATAAAAAAACATTTTTCTCTCTCTTAATATTGTTTTATTTTAAATTTTTAACTTTTAAAATCTTTTTATTATCTAAGACTCCTTATCTCTTTTTATTTTGCTTAATCTCAACTTAAAAAATAATAAAAAAAAGAAACCAAGAACTTCTACAACTTTCATACACACATTTTCTATTCAGTTTACTCCAGTCATCTTTTATTTTCTCATAATAACTCATCTTCTCCATTATTATATTTTTCAAGTTTGATTATCTGGAAAAATCATTACAAGGTCAGTGCAATATTATTTCTTACTTTATATACATTTTTCAGTATTTGTTACTTTGGGTGTATATATATTTTTTCAATATTTTTCAGTTCATTTACAAATTTTTTCATTTTCTTCATTTTTATGATCATAATATTATTTCTTACTTTATATGTACTTTTCCAATGTTTATTACTTTTGTGTGTATATATTTCTTTCTTTTTTTTATTATTATTTTTCAATTCATCTACACGTCTTTTCATCTTTTTCATTATTACATTTTGCATGATTTGGGCTTGCTTACTTTTTAATTTATTATTTGCTTTTGTTTTTCAATTTAATCAGATTCGAAACTCATCAAATCTTGAATTGAATTGAATTTATTTTATCTCATGTCTATCACACCATCACATTTATTAATGGCTTCACGTAAACTCTCAAATTTAAGAAAATCAGCACTGTATAAAGTTAATCTCACGTTTGCTTCTTCAAGCTCTCTCAAATGAGAGTTCTTCGGATCATCTACGACCTGCATACACCCACTTAACAACACAATCACGCACAACAGCTTCAAAACCTTAAACACAATTTTTCAATTTTAAAATTTTAAAAAAATATATGTATATATTTGGCTTAAAGTGGTTGGTACATCTAACAATATTTAATTTTAAAATTTTAAAATCTTTAAATTTTATCTAAACATATCTAATTTAAAATTTTGATTTTTTTTAACAATATTAGAAAGAAAGAAAAAGGCTCAAATCTATTAGTGTATTATCTAAATTTTGAATTATTACACATGCATAATATTACTGGATTTAAAATTTAAATTTTAAAATAAACTAAAATATCTAATTATATGATTTGAGGAATTTCAATACTTTATTATGAATTTTCCAATTTTTTTTTTTAATTTTTACAAAATTTAAGTTGCTAAATGTCAATTTTTTATTGGCTATCCATGATTTTATCCTAAATTATTGGTTAATGATTCACCACTATTAAATTCTTTCTATAGGCTACAATGACAACAATTGACTACCATCAATTTTAAAATTTTCTATCAATGTATTTTTTTTAAAAAAATATCATCATCAAGCATACAATTTAAAAATTAAATACATTTTATTCTATTACAACTTTATTAAAAATGTAAATTAATTTTGCTACTATCCAAGAAAATATATATGCCTTTATTTTGATATAACAAAATTTAAATTATCTTCTACTCATACATAATCTCTTATAAATATCTTATCTTTTTAAAAATTTTGATTATCAGTAACCGAATTCCCACATTTCTCTCTTCTTTTTTTTAGGATGTTTATTTTATTTTTCTCTTTTGTCAAATTAGATTTAATATCTATCTTTTTACCTATATATCTATATCTATACTATATATAAGGAAATATATTATGTACTCTAAAATTTTTAAAGTCTCAATACTCAATTCTCAAACAGTTGATATTCTTTTTCCTACATGTCACTCTCTCAAAGTTATGTTTTAAATTTTTATTCATCCTTATTTTTCTCCAATAAAAAAACATTTTTTTCTCTCTTAATATTGTTTTATTTTAAATTTTTAACTTTTAAAATCTTTTTATTATCTAAGATTCCTTATCACTTTTTATTTTGCTTAATCTTCTCCTGCATCTTCATTTATCTTTATTTCTTATTTCTTCCTTTTTAATTTTTTTTTTAATCCTCAATCCTATCATTATCTCCAATTTTAATTTTATTATATTGCTCATATGATCCCTTTTTTAAATTTATTTTAATCTTCAATCTAATAATTATCTTCAAATTCATTCCTATCTGATAATAATTTTCAATTTCATTTCTATCTTATTTTTCAAATGCTTCAGATTTTAGCTATATATTATAACATACCATCGAGTTTTTTTAGTGTCTGTATTTAAGATTTGAGTTGCGTTCAATCATCAACAGCGTCATAATTAGTTAAGCAATTGTAGGATTCTAGAGTTTCATGAATTTTATTCATTTTCTATACCTATGTGTATATGTAGTGGGGCATTTTTTGTTGTTTTCTTTAAAGGGGCTTTGAACATTTTTACACTATTTATAATAGTACCCATTTTTATATTATTTGTTTTTAAAACTATAATAATGTCCGATAGAAATATAGTTCATGTTGTTAAGTGACCTACTTGGACTAAGATAATTTTATAATCAATGTTTTAAATGACAAATTTATGAAAAAAAATGAATGTATGAACTTAGGTATGAGATAGTTATCATATTCAAAATATTTCTTAATTATAATTTCCTGTCATATTTTAAATTTATAAGAATTTTTTATTTATTATATAAAAATGAATATAATAAATTATTTAAATTACACATTCCCGTGCATAGCACGGGTTGCTGCTTATTAAAATATGGAGATGTATACTAAAAATTTATACGATGATGTTTCATGTACCAATTAGTGTATCTACTAGTATTATAATATTATTATTGATCATATTTATTATACAAATTATAAATATCTAAAATTATACAAATGATATCACATTATCAATAAGTACACTAATATGTATATTAATTAACATATATGACATTATTTAAATTTATGTTTTTATAATTAGTGTACTGTGAAAGTATTCAATAAATGTACATACAAGGAGGAATTGTGTAAGAGCAAGGTTAGATATCATGAAAATTTTTTTATAAAAATAATCATAAAAAATTTACAATCATTAGATTACACTTAAAATAAAATATTATATACTAATTAAGATAATTTTGATTATTTTTATGAAATTTTTTTCTTAATAACTTTTCTCATTATGAAAATAGAATTATGAGGCTTCTAATCCTCGTCGGTACCCCACACCGCCATTCTCTCTCTAAAACTCATTTTCTCTCTCTCTCTCTCTCTCTCTCTCTCTCTCTGCATTTCATTCACAGTTGTTAGCATTGTTCGAACGAAGAGCGGAAGAGGAGAGACTTGTGTATCTATCTCCGGCGATTGCTTTTCGTTTGTCGATCTCTCATTTATAATAAATTATTTAAATTACACATTCCCGTGCATAGCACGGGTTGCTGCTTATTAAAATATGGAGATGTATACTAAAACTTTATACGATGATGTTTCATGTATCAATTAGTGTATCTACTTGTGTTATAATATTATTATTGACCATATTTATTATACAAGTTATAAATATCTAAAATTATACCAATGATATCACATTATCAATAAGTACACTAATATGTATATTAATTAACATATATGACATTATTTAAATTTATGTTTTCATAATTAGTGTACTGTGAAAGTATTCAATAAATGTACATACAAGGAGGAATTGTGTAAGAGCAAGGTTAGATATCATGAAAATTTTTTTATAAAAATAATCATAAAAAATTTACAATCATTAGATTACACTTAAAATAAAATATTATATACTAATTAAGATAATTTTGATTATTTTTATGAAATTTTTTTCTTAATAACTTTTCTCATTATGAAAATAGAATTATGAGGCTTCTAATCCTCGTCGGTACCCCACACCGCCATTCTCTCTCTAAAACTCATTTTCTCTCTCTCTCTCTCTCTCTCTCTCTCTCTCTGCATTTCATTCACAGTTGTTAGCATTGTTCGAACGAAGAGCGGAAGAGGAGAGACTTGTGTATCTATCTCCGGCGATTGCTTTTCGTTTGTCGATCTCTCATTCTACTATTCGATCTCTGATCTTATTGTGACAAACAGTTGCGATGTCGGTCAGTATTGCAAATCCATTTCTCTCTGTATCTGTATATGTCATACATAATTTTTACATACGTACAAATGTATAATGTTTATGTATTTGATTAATTGCTTCAAATTTGGTAATGGACCGTTGAATCCTTATAGTTAGCGTTGATTTTGTGGTTCTTTTTCTATTCGTGTTGAAACGACATTGATCTGTTTGTTTTTTCTGGTAATACTAGTCATCACGTTTGCAATTTCACATCTAAAACTTTTGAGCGATTTGATGAATGAGTAAGATGGGTACTGGATGTGGATTTTTAAATTTAATCGAATTATAGTTTGCAAGAATAGTGAGTAGTTAACAAATTTATGGGTATTTTTTGGAAAATAAATAAAAAAGCGTGACGAAGATTTAGAGAATGCATGTCTTCTATTTCGAATTGTAATGAGCTGCAAATTACAAACATGGTATCTTTCTCTTTTATTTTGATGTGTCATTTCTTGATACTTATAAATTGAAATTTTTGTTTCTTTGGTAACCCAATCACCCCTATTTTGAACTACTTTTAAAGGCACTCGACTTATTTAGACTTGTTTGAATCATTTTACCTTTTGCATTTATATTTCCATCTACTTAAGATATAGTTTGTGAATAATACATTTTAATTAAATGAAAACATCATGATAATGAAATTGTGAATAAATAAAAAGTTAAAACTCCTATTAAGTACAAAATCCAAAATTCTTATGATTGGCTTAAAATAACGACTTGTTCAATATGAGGTATTCCTCATAATCTAAGATGTTCTAAGTTTCATTTTTAGTTACTAATAACAAATATTGAAAAAAAAAATTGGTTGTAGAACCTCAAATCTTGGAGTTTTGATATTTTGGTCAGTAACAGCTCCTTGAAATCAAGTGTCAGAAGTTAATTATTTTTACTCTCACTTGCCTTCCATACGAGATCTAAATACTCGATGGCTCCTAAACTACTATGCTTTTGAAATTTAACATGAGATTTGATTAGAGTATGCATTGCATTGTCTTTGAAGATCTTCATTCTTAAACACTTGGATGCTCAGCCTTAATACACCTAGCATGAGTTTGTATTTCATCTATGTGAATTGCCAACACACTAAATCATAAAACCTATAACAAGCTCAAGCCCTTACGAATTCTTCCCTCAATTGTTCTTGGACTTGTCTTTCTGGTTTTCTTGCAGTAACCTCCTCATCTTCCTTGCTGTCCGTCACACAGCCTTTCAGTCTACGTTGAAATCTTGCATGACCCCTTCCATTTGTTCATTAAATTTCTGCACAAGAGGGGATTAACTCTCTAAATCCCTTATTGACTTTGCTAGCCTCCGCCTGTTAACTCAGTTTTGTTGTCCTTTGTTTGAGCTCTGTTAGTTTTATAGTTTACTTGAACATTCTCTTGCTGACAATCTGTGATTTCCTACACCAAGGCTACCAACTCCTCACCTAGAACATTGTTTCTCCTGGGTTTGGAATATTTTTGATCTCGGTTTCTTCTTTGGCTTCCTTAGGTTGTTCCACATCTCATTGTTTCATCACATCCTACTTCCCCTCCCTTTCCTACCCACACAAAGTTGGAGAAGAATTGAAAATTTGGGTAGGCTATTGAGACCTTGCCAACTTTGCTTCAGTTGAGGGAGGGTATATTCAATATTTTGGTGGGTGGTGTTTGGTTGAGCTAGAAACCATTTATGACATATCTATGTACTTGATTTTGGAAAAAGCTACATGCAAAAAAATAAAATAAAAAACAGTTTGGGAAATGTTGATTCACGGGTAGGGCCAATCTCACACAAATTAAGCAGTCTCAAAATTGAACCCATACATAACCTAATCCCATCTGTGTATGTACAATATATTATTTAGAAGACAATACTTTTTTAGTATTACAAGATCTGGGGCAAGAAAAAAACTCGAAACTCATACATGATGCTGGTTTTTGGCTATTACTTGGACGCTACGTAAACCATGCTGTTGAGAGGAATGACATGTACTTATTTTCCTTCTCTGTGCGTGTGCGCGCATGCACACACATATTGAAAAAACTGTTTTCTTGCCACAGATCACAACCATCAAAGTCAGCAATGTTTCCCTAGGGGCAACTGAGCAAGACATCAAGGAGTTCTTTTCCTTCTCTGGTGATATTGAATATGTTGAAATGCAGAGGTTTCGATCTGAATTAGTTTCTTTGTGTTCTTTTTATCTTCTCTTTGTTATATGAACTTCAAATTTATTCTATGTTTATGCAGCAAAACTGAACAATCCCAAATTGCATTTGTTACCTTTAAGGATTCACAAGGAGCAGAGACTGCAGTCCTCCTTTCGGTGATTTTACTTACAAAATTCAATATTATAATGGTTTTTCAATATGAATTTAGACCATGTATACATTTGTTTTCACTCCTCATTAGCTGACTGGAATTATGGCTTTGTTTGGTTGAGTTTTTAGAATTTATTTATTTTGTTGTGTGTGGAAAAATCAGAAATTAGTTTGACAAATAAACACCCGAAAGATATTGTTGAATTTCCAAAACTTATTTTTACCCTAAAAAAGAGAAAATTGTATGAAAATAACAAGTGGTTTTTATTTTTTGGGTAAATTACACTGACACTCCTGAGGTTTCTGACAAATACAGAGACCTCCCTTGTGATTTCAATAATTATAGAAACCTCCCTACTTTAACTGACATTATCAAGATTCTCCCAATCTGTAACTGTCGTCACAAGACCTAGTAGAAAGTGCTGATGTCACTCATTATAAATTATGAAATGCCAAAAATACCCTCACTGCCTTCTAATTCACCTTCTACTCATGTCATCACCAGTACCAACCCATTCACCATTGCAACACCCCCCACAAAATCAGAAATATACATAAAGATATATATATATATATATATATATGTAAGATATTTATGTATACATATGTATATATATTAAACATATATATCCAACATATTAATTTAATTCTTTATTTTGTTTTATTTATTATATATATTACATAAATGTAAGATGCAACTGACCAAACTCACCGCAAACCACCTTCACACTTTAAACCCACAAATCTGTTAAACAACACCCCCGTTGCCTCAAACCCACTAGATCTGTTAAACCCACCACTGCTGCCTCAATCCATTTGTGTTTGATTTCAAAAATCAATTCTACAAAGTGTTATGGGTCTTGAGAGAAGAAAGAGAAAAATATATTGCAGTAGATGGAAGAGGAGGAACTAACTCTATCCCATAACTCATTATAAAGAAAAACAATCAATTTTGTTCTGTTTGGTTACCCAGAAAATGCAAGAAAATAAAAAATAAATAAAAATTCATTCTAGATCAACACCCAATTGATACAAAGCAAAGTTTTGAACATTCTTAAACCAAAATAGCAAAATACCAGATAGGCAATCTCAATCCCAGATAGGCAATCTCAATTCCAGATCAATAATCCACTGTTCTTTCTCCATTCTCAATCTCAATCCTAGATAGGCAAAAGCTTCAATTTCCTCTTTCTTCAACATTATCCCAATCTCAGGCCCACCATTGCCATCCCTGCAATCAAAAAGAGATAATGAATCCCTCCATCTCCGGTCAACCTCCTCATCCCCCTTTCCTTCTCCTGCCGTTCGTCCCCTTTCTCTCTTCCTCCTCCTCCTCCTTTTCTTTTTCTTCTCCTAATAGTGACCAAGATCACAACTAGCCATCACAAACCCAGACCCAACGTTGCTACCATTACCTCCCACCACCGCTTTGAAAACCATAGATCTAGGGTTAGGGTTTCGGAAGAAGAGGAGGAGAGGAAAAGTGGGAGGCGAAGAGGGTGTGGAGGAAGAAGAAGAAGAAGAAGAGGAGGAGGAGGAGGAGGAAAGACGGCGGTGGCAGACGGCAGACGACGAACGGCAAAAATGAGGGGTGCCGGCGAAGAGGAGCTTCTCTCTCTCTCTCGCATTTCAATCGGATGTAAAAGAACAAACAAAATTCATTTCTTCACAGAGGGTAATGGAGGGAGGGAGGGAGGGAGGGAGGGGATCAATATATACTTTGTAGTTTGTAGGATTAATAAAAGATCAAGAGGTATTTTCATCTTTTTGCACTCAAATGAAAGGGTAATATAGTCATTTTGTATAGGAATATAACGTCGTTTGTGCAAAATTGACGGATTGGGGGAATCTTGATATTGTCAGTTAAAGTAAGGGAGGTTTCTGTAATTATTGAAACTACAGGGAAGATCCCTGTATTTTTCAGAAATCTCAGGGGGTGTTAGTGTAATTTACCCTTATTTTTTTCATTCTTTTCCCCAAACTAGATTTTATTTTTTATTTTTATTTATTTATTTATTTTCAAAAAACAGATTCTGATAATTCAACCAAACATATGGGTGTTCTAATTTAACTGCTTGAATAAGGGCTGGTTTGGCATGTTATAAAAAAGACAAAAAGTTACTAAAAAAGTAAAAAAGTTATCACTATTCACAAATTAAAAATATATAAAAAATTAATTTACACAAAAAAAGTACAATCCAACTTTACACAGGTAAAGTGATGGGGAAAATTACATACATACATTCTGATTGTAGAAATTACAAATTAGATATATATATTTATTAAGTTGGAGGGTATTGTTGGGCCCGTGGAGGCCCACCACAGATTCCATTTCGATAATCCGAACCATTCAATGTGGAACTCGTCAAGTATTATATACCTGTAAAAAATCACGTTGATCGGATATGGATAGCTATGTGATCAAATTAGATTTTTGTCAGCCGTTTATTTTTCGCCGTTCATTTTTTTCATACAAAACTGTTTTGATCACACATCTATCGATATCCGATCAACGTGATTTTTTACAGGCATATAGTACTATACGAATTTTACACATTGATCGGTTCGAATTATCGAAACGGGACTTGTGGTGGGCCCCCACGGGCCCAACAGTACCCGTGAAGCCTTGTGCTATATATATATGTTCTGAAGTTATCACCATTTGCAGGGCAATCCGTACTGTCCTTCAATCAGTAATGTCACTGAGTATACGACATAGGGGTGATAATGTAATTTTGCTATTTTATACAATATTTTAATACACATTTTTTCGTAAAAAGACAAAAAGTTATCCCAAACACAAATCTTTTTTCTGCCTACTTCTCACTAAAAAGTCAAAAAATGCACTTATTTAGAACACCCAAAACAACCCCTAAATCTTTCTCTGGAAACTGTTACATGTTACTTGTTAAAGGCATGTTCGAACATTAAATATTACCTGCGGTCACTTTTCAGTAATTTGCTGAAATGGTTGAATGCAAAACTGCCATTATTTCTTTGTGCTTGGTATCATGTGTTATCTTAAAGGTTCCAGCATAGAAACAGTCTCTCAGCATCGGGTGGGTAAGACTGCGCGTATTGACCTTTCCTAGACCCCACAGTGGAGGGAGGCTCATGTGGGCTGCCCTTGGTGTGATCTAGGGCCTAAAATTGGTGTGGTGTGAGAGAATAACAAGCGATGACCTAGCCAGGTGATACGGGATCTTGAGGAATTCAACACTATATTAGAGTTACAGTCAGTTTTTGGTGGTTAGCAATGGACACACCTATAGGGTCTTTAAGTTGTATTAATGGGGTAAGGGTTTGAGGATGTGATTGGAAAAAGAAACATGAAGTTTGGTGCTGTTGCATGGGTTGTGAACAGTAGCTCAGTAACAGTGCTGTGGCTGATTTCGGTTTTAAATGAAGGATTGAAGGAAGAGTGGGTTGGGAAAATTAAATAAGGTTTAAAGGTATGAGTAAGGGGTTGGCAAGTTGGGGTTATGGATTTCAAAGTCTTAGAAATGCAGGAAATTGCGAGGAGGAAGAGAAGAGTAAGAATAAAGAAGAAAAAGTAGAAGAAGAAGGCAACCTACACACTGATACACAAAAGAAAGATGCATCATATGTCGAAGGAAATAAGCTTGAAGTGATCACTCTCTCTCTCTCTCTCTCCCCTTTTTATTTTTATTTTTTTTATAATTCCCAAAAGAAGGCAGTGTGTCACATACATAGGGAGATGCGCTTGGTGTCTAAGAAAACTCGATGGCTAAGCAAGCTTGGTGTCCCAGTCTAAATACATGGACTGTATTAGGCAAGTCTAGAAATCACGTCTAAAGTATTTTCACATTATGTAGCAGGTCCTGGTAATATTACCCTTTAATTTGACCTTATCTTTATTAGGGGTACTGCTTCTTCAAGCAAATAAATGATGCTTTTGTTTCATTTTACAATATTTGAGAAATTTTTGTCTGAGAATTTTGATATTTTCTCAGGGAGCAACAATAGTTGATCTATCTGTCACTGTAACTCTGGATCCAGATTACCAGCTTCCACCCGGTGCTTCAGCACCACCCCTTGTAAGTAGTTATCTGCAAAGCTTCAATTTTCATGCATAACACAGCAGATGAATCTTTGTGATCTAATTCCTGCCTAAACTCTGCAGAAAACAGGAAATAAAACTGCAGGTAGTTCTGAATCTGCATTTCGGAAAGCGGAGGATGTAGTCAGCAGCATGCTTGCAAAGGGCTTTGTCTTGGGCAAAGATGCGGTCAACAAAGCCAAGTCCTTTGACGAGAAGCACCAGTTGACTTCCACCACCACTGCTAAGGTTGCTTCTTTTGATAAAAAAATTGGGCTCAGCCAGAAGATCAGCATTGGAACTTCTGCTGTTAATGACAAAGTTCGGGAAGTAGATCAGAAATTTCTAGTTTCTGAGAAAGCCAAATCAGCATATTCAGCTGCTGAGCAAAAAGTCAGTACCGCAGGATCAGCCATAATGAAGAACAGGTATGTATTTACTGGTGCTTCGTGGGTGACAGGTGCATTCAATAAAGTTGCTAAGGCAGCTGGGGAAGTTGGCCAGAAGACGAAAGAGAAAGTGGGAACGGTTGAAGAGGAGCAGAAAAAGAAAATGGGGGATGACTATGCTGAGATTCATGTATCCGAGCCACCTAAAGCTTCTGCACCAAATGAGCAGCAGTCTTCCAAGCCCGCACCTGCACAAGGTTTGATTCTGTGATTCGTTACTTGTGTAAATACCTTAGCTTTTGGATCTGTGGTCTGATATCTTGCTCTTTCACAAGTGGTGAATGTAGAGCAATGTACCTTTATAGTTGGATTTGATTGAACTAAATGTGTTGACTCTGCTCCATAAATTTTTAATAAATTGAACTTCTGTGAGATTACCGACTAGCTATTTTTTCGCCCTTCTTTCCTCTCTTGGGTTCTTTTATTGGTGTTGCTATAGATGGTTTTAGATGTTTGTTTGTCTTTATCCATTTATCATGCTGTTTGGTTTAGATCTTGATGCTCTAGGTCATGCTGTTTGGTTCGATCCCCAGCTGTTTGGTCCAAAAAAAAAAAGAAAAAGATCCATTGTTTATCATATTGTATAGTAATGAATGTTTCACCATGTGATTGTCTCGATTGTCTCTATTATACGCGAATCTCTGTGAGGTTCGCTGAAGGGGTGTTTCCTTGTTGGGAACTTCCTGGGATAATGTTTTAAACATACTCAACCAGGACGCTCTCAATGGTTTGTTTCTTTTTGTTCATGTCACTCTATATAGGAAAGTAGGGAAAATGCTATTCTTCTAGAACTTTGATGCCGAACCTTCAACCAGACTGATGTGATGGTGACATTTGTGTAAAATTAAAAGACATCTTGGTGGGTTATTTATTTTAGAGTAATGCTAGTGACTCACATAGGGAATAAAAGTCAACACTTATCTTGACATATCATTGTGAGTATCTCAACATTTTCCTTTGTTTTAAAGTGCTAGGTCACAACTCAGCCACATCATTTTGTAAAATTTTTTGGTATGCTTTATTAATTTATATAGCAGCACTCTATCTAGGAAGCAGATAAGGTGCTTGATACCATCATCGAGGTCAAAATAAATTTTTGGTTAAAGGCTGATACCGCTCTGTAATGCTAAGCACTAGGCTTCCACTGCTAAACAACATGGTTAGCAGTTGTTAATGTTGAGCAAGAATGTTGCAATGTTGTTCTCGAAAGATATTTAAGAGGTCAGAGAAAGGTTTAAATTAACCATTCTTTCATGTCTAGAAGAGCTTAGGAAATTATTGTTGTGGTTGTAGAGTTCCACATTTTGGTGGTCTGTTAACCTGAAAACACTATTTGTTTGGTTTTGATTGGTTTTTTTGAAAAATAAGTTTGTTGTTTTTCTTGTTTTTAGTGGATTTTTCAAATATTTTAAATAATTTTTTTTTTAACTTTTCAGATGCATCTAATTTAGATACACCTAAAAAGTAAAATGTTTGTGCAAAAATATTTTAAAAATTCAATAAATACATAAGAATCTGAAAATTTACTAAATTTTTATATATTTTAAAATATTTTTTTATTTGATAATAAAAATACAAAAATATACTAAATTCAATACATCTTTTATTTTCTAGTTGCATGCATGTTACAATAAAAAGATTAATACTTGAGACTCTCAAAATTTGTGACCCTTATAATTCCCAATTAATTTATGACACCTCATTATTTATTTGTTTATTTATTTATTTTTGTTTTCATCTCTCTCTCCTCTCACAAATGTGTGTGGAGGTGTTGGGGTCCTTATCACAGTTGTTTTAAGAGTAAATTACAAAAATATTTTTTGATATTTATTTAAATTACAAATTATTTTTTGTGATTTTAAAAATTACATTATACCTTCCAAAGTTTCTAATTTCATAATAAATAATCATTTTATTAATAAATTATCAAGTTAATTAACAGTTTTTAATAATGTTAATTTATTTCAATCAATAATTCAGATAAGTTTTTTATTGTATAGGTGAACAGTCAAAATTTTATTTTTTCAATTAATTCTGTTAAATAAAAAATTTTAATAGAGAGGTATTATTTGTAATTTTCTAAATGAATTAACTATTCTCCAATCTGTTATTAGATTGGAGGGCACTATTCAGTTGTTGTGGGCTTTGATCTAGATTTCAATCTCTTTTGATGGTCACCCCATAACCCTTTTTGTCTTTGACTGGTCAAAAAAAATTTTAGGAGGGATTTCAATCATGGCCCAAAAAACAAAATAATTAGTCTCAATGATGGCCCAAAAACCAAAATAATTAGTCAAATCCGATGATACTTCGAAATGGGTAATCTTCGCTGTCTCCTCGTGGCTCGCGTGGGTTTTCGTCTTTTGTATTCTTCCTTTAATTTAACTCAAATAAAAATTAATTAAAAAACAGAGAAATTTATTTATTTATAACGAATAAAGTTGTTAAAATATAACAAATATAAAAATTAGTTGATGATTTAGATTAAAAATAAATTAAAATTTAAAATTATAAAATTAATTTTTTTTAAAGATCAAATTTTGATTATTTATTTATTTTTATTTTTTTGTATCAATGAATAAAAACCTGAAGTGAACATTGTCAAATTCACTACAGAGGCTTTTTGCATCAGCTTTATCTCTAATTCCAGCCCTCTCCTCCTGTGTACTTTGTGGAAATGCCTCAATTTGGTGCTCTGTTTTTTGCCTCAATTTCATCATTTTGCATAGTTCTGGTTGGGTTTTTGACGGTGCAGCAAACTGCTTTTGTAATAAACTCCCTACCCCTCTCCTCTTCTTAACTCTCTCTCTCTCTCTCTCTCTCTGGGTCGGAAAACAAACAGACCCTAAACCCCCCCCTCCAGCGCCGCGCCCCCCACCACCATCGCCACTGTGCAGCCTTCCGAAGGTGACGGCGGAAGAGAGAGCTTGCTGAATTTTAAAAGTTTTTTTTTTTTTTTAAAAAAAAAAAGTTAGTTTGACAAAAATAAATATTTTTAAATTTTTAAAAATTATTTTCACCATTCAAAAAGATAAAATTATATAAAAACAATAATTATGGATAAATTACAAATACAACCATTGAAGTTCATTTAAAATACGAATTGTCTCATGTGATTTAAAAAATTACAAATATCTCATTGTCATAATTTTTTATTTAACAAAATTAATTAAAAAATAAAATTTGTATTCTTATATAATGATAAAATTATTTAAATTATTAATTAAAATAAATTTCTGATATCATTAAAAATTATTAATTGACTTAATGATTTTTTAGTAAAATGAGTTATTTGTTATGAAATTAAAAATTTTAAGGACAAGATGTAATTTTTAAAATTATAAAGAATAAATCATATTTTAAACAAATCTCGGAAAGTGTAATTGTAATTGTAATTGTAATTTACCTAATTTTTTTTAAAAAAAAATTAGAAATTTTTTATCAATTAAATTTACCAAACGTGCCCTTTCTAGAAACAAAAAAAAAAGTTTACCAAACGTGGCCCACGAAGAGGAGCAACCATTATTTTCTCTCTCCTCGTGGCCCCAGTGCATCTTCCGTCTTCTTCATCTCCATATATTTGAATTCAGAGCATGCTCTTCCCAATCAACAATGGAGGTTGTGGTGATCTCTAGAGACACAATCAAACCCTCTCTCCCTACCCCTCCCAATCTTCGCCTTGTAAAACTCTCATTTCTCGATCAATTAAACCTGCGAATTTTCAATCCATTCATCTACTTCTACACCTCTGATTCATCGTTCAACTTTGCGAGATTAAAGAAATCTCTATCGGAGATCCTAACTGGGTTCTACCCATTAGCGGGTCGTCTCAAAGACGACCTCTTTGTCGACTGTAACGACAACGGCGTCGATTTCTTTCAAGCCCAAGTCAATTGCAAGCTCTCAAGATTGATCGAACGACCCGACTATGTCGAGATCAATAAATTGCTTCCTTATCCTGAAAAGGACGATTTGGGGGACAAGCTTTTGGCAATTCAAGTCAATATCTTTGAATGTAATGGAGTCGCCATTGGTTTATACATTTCACACACGGTGTTCGACGCATTGTCTATGTTCACTTTCGTCAATAATTGGGCTGCCAAGGCTCGAGACCCTGATTCGAATCTGATTGTTTATCCAAAATTCGACCTCGCAAAGCTGTTTCCTCCGAGGGACATGCCTGGTAACGAAGTAGTCTCCCTCACTGCGGAAGAGCAGAAGAAGGTTTACGAAGCGAAGGGGTTCGTGTTCAGTGCCAATGCTGTGGCTGCTCTCAAAGCAATGTATGCTGCAAATCATTCACATTTGCATCTTCCCCCAAGTCGAGTCGAGTCTGTTTCGGCTTTCATTTGGAGTAGATTTATGGTTGCTACTCAAGGAGATAAGGCTAGACAAGTTGGGAAGTCTTACAGGGTGGTTCAGGCGGTGAATCTTCGTCCGAGAGCAAGTCCGCCTTTGCCGGGGAGTTGTTTGGGTAATCTGAGTAGATTTGCTATGACAGTGCCATCCATGGAAGGCACTGCTGAAGATGGGTTTGGATTGATTACCCAAATGAGGGAGGCAATGAAGAAGATAGATGGGGATTATGTGAAGGAACTTCAAGAGGGAAATCCAATCCCAAAAGCTAATCAGCTTGATGGTAAATTCAAGAAAGGAGAGAAGGTGGGAAGTTTTTTTACATTTACTAGTGCGTCCAGGTTTCCAGCCTATGAAGCTGATTTTGGGTTTGGGAAACCCATATGGCTCACCATGGGTGCACAATCTGTTGGTAACGTGGTTATTCTGTTGCCCACTACAAGTGATGGTATGCAAGCATTTATCAATATGAAAAGGAGTGAATTGGCTAAGCTTGAAGCTGACAAAGTGTTCCAAGCATTTGTTTCCCCAACATTTGATGCGAAAGTTCTCCTTCATAGCTCTTTATAGCAGCAATGTTAGGAACACAGATGAAATTCACGTAATAAAAATTCAATTTTGAGATGAAAATGGATCTCGCGCATGGACTTGCCTTTTATTTAATTCTGTAGATTCCGTCTCTACAGATTTGTTCTAATCTAAGTTGTGTTTTTGTGTGTGTGTGTGTGTGTGTTTTTTTCGTTTGGACAATTGCTCAATATAGTTCAGACCATTGTTACTATTAAAAATAAATAAATAAATAAATAAAATTCTGAAATGGTCTTGAGGGGGAGATTTATGATCTGGAATTGGGTCGAGGTAACGGCCGAGCAGGTTGAGAGCCTAATGGTGCATAGGGCCGAGATGACCGGCCATCCGCCCGGAGATGGGCTGCCAGGAGTTGGGCCGGGCAGGAGTTGGGCCAAGTATGTGCCGCTCCAAACCGTAAAGAAGCTGCTCGGCAGGGCAGTGCTCGGTTGGACCGAGCTGCTTGATCAGGCGATGGTGGAGCCAGTCAAGCTGAGTGACCGGCCGGCGCCCGGAAAGGCATGGTCAGCCGAGGTAATCGTTTGATCGGCAGGAAGGCCGATCACAGGAGGTGCCCCGGACTCGGCTTTGCCGAGATGCCGCCTAGCCCGGTCCTCTTTGGGCTTAGCCAGTGAAGTGCTTGGGTATAAAGCACAGCACGGCCGTGGATAGAGAAGCTCGGCTGCCGAGCTCCAACTGAGGAGGCAGGCAGTTGAGATTAGGTGATGTTCAGCAAGGTTTATGCTGACAGATGGGATAGCAGAGCCACGTGTCAGGAGATGACTAGGAGTGGATATGGGGTGCAGAGGGTATATAAGCATGTCTGCGCCCCCCATACGCGGACAGACGAACATTCTGTAAGGAATTCCTACACTCTAACACTCCTCTCTCTTTCTCTTTATCCTAAGGTGTGTGCTAACTTGACCGTCGGAGGGGTTTTCTGGCCACACACCGCCGGGTAGCTCACCGTTACTTGCTCGCAGGTGATCGGATAGAAATGGAGCTCGGAAGAAAGGAGTACGGGCTTGTCGGAATATTTGCTCCCCGTACAATTGGCGCCGTCTGTGGGAAGCTTGACAGATAAAACCTTGTCTTCCAGGTTCATCTGATCGCCGTCCATGGCAAACAACGACGAGATTCCGTTGTCCGCTATCGATGGAGCTATCCCGGAGTTCACCCGACGGAGAGAATGACATCTTGCCATCCTTCCAATGGCGAACTTGGATACGTTCACTGGAGGACAATCAGGAGACGCGCGGGATAAGCGCGGAAGAAGTTATGGTCATTCACGAAGTCCAGACGATCATCGGCGGCGGAGAGAATCACATGCCCGACGTCTGGAACACAAGTTGAGGGACCAAGACGCTGTCATCCGGTGAATGGCGGCGGAGATGAAGGAGTTGAAGCGGCATGTCAAGGGGAAGGGTGTAGATGGAGTGGTAGACCACAGAGAGTGCACCCCATCCCGCCATTCAGGTAGTCAGAGTCAGCGGCATACTCCGTCCATTTCTATTACTAGAAATTACAAGGTTGGTGATTCCGATGTGCGTACAGAGAAGTCCAGCGCGCAAGATAACACTTACCAGCCCTCACGTCCGGTGACGACGTCGAGATATTCCTATTCCGCTCGTTCAGAGGACTTGCGGGCAGTCTTGAAGGAACGGGCTCGCCGGCGGGAGGCTCAAAGGGTGCCGGCGTTCCAGCGGCTATCCTACAGGGTTCATGCCAGCGAGGAGGTCGGAATGCCCCCACCCCGCCTAGCGGCGCCACTCCTTGTAGATACAGACTTGGCGAGGCTGGGCGCCACCCCTTTCTCCCTGGAGATAGAAATAACACCGCTTCCCGCGGGCTTCCACCAGCCAAAGTTCACGCTCTATGACGGAAAGACCGATCCGTATATGCATGTAAGCCACTTCCGACAGGTCATAGCCGGACGTAGGCGAAATGACGCTCTTATGTGCCTCATCTTCCCGTCAAGTTTGGGCGAGCTGGGCTTAAAATGGTTTGAGAGGTTGCCGGAGGGGAGCATAGAAAGGTGGCAGCGGTTGGCGGAAGCCTTTGTGACGCGTTTCAAAACCAACACCAAAGGAAGTTGACCACCTTCTCAGTGTCAAGATGGAACCGAGCGACACTCTCAAGGCGTATAACTCCAGGTACTGGGATACCTTCAATGAGATCCTAGATTGCCCGGTCAACCTGGCAATCACCCAATATAAGCGCCGTCTCCCGCTCGGACATAGGCTGAGGGATTCGCTTACAATGAGCCAGCAGACATCCATGTGGCACCTAATGCAGCGCATCAATGAGCACATCCGAGTAAAGGATGATGCAGCGACGTCCGCCGCGGAGACAACCTCGATGGTAACGGGCAAGTGGGCGATTGGGTTTTAAGGAAGGTCATGGGCAACGCACTAGTGCCGGGTGAAGGCAAGCTAGGGGCAAACTAGGAAGAGCCTTACAAGATAACCGGGCAAGGGGGCATACCACTTAGAGGATTTGGATGGCAAAGGCGTACCCCGGCCATGGAATGCGGCCTTATGTAATTTTTTGAGGGACTTGTTTCCCCTACACTTCTGAATGCAAATACTCTTTTTGTCAATGTAATAAAAGTGAATTACTTTTGCTGAAGAGCTTTTTTGTGTCCGAAATAATAGTGGATGAGGGGCCTACTCTTCTGTTCCAGCCGAGATGATTTACTCCGGCTGAAGAGTTGATGATTTGCTCAACTGCGAGGTTCCAGCCGAGATGTTTTACTCCGGCTGGCGAGTTGATGATTTGTTCCACTCCGAGGTTCCAACCGAGTTGATTTGCTCCCGCTGACGGGTTGATGATTTGTTCAACTCCAAAGTTTCAGCCGAGTTAATGTTGCTCGCCTAAGTCGCGGAGCGGACCTAGCTCGCCTTCTTTGGAGTTCCTTGGCTGAGCTGATCTTGTCCGCCAAGAAGGAAGTCTCGCCTTCTTTGGAGTTCCTTGGCCGAGCTGATCTTGTCCGCTAAGAAGGAAGTCGCGGAGTGGACCTAGCTCGCCTTCTTTGGAGTTCCTTGGCCGAGCTGATCTTGTCCGCTAAGAAGGAAGTCGCGGAGTGGACCTAGCTCGCCTTCTTTGGAGTTCCTTGGCCGAGCTGATCTTGTCCGCTAAGAAGGAAGTCGCGGAGTGGACCTAGCTCGCCTTCTTTGGAGTTCCTTGGCCGAGCTGATCTTGTCCGCTAAGAAGGAAGTCGCGGAGTGGACCTAGCTCGCCTTCTTTGGAGTTCCTTGGCCGAGCTGATCTTGTCCGCTAAGAAGGAAGTCGCGGAGTGGACCTAGCTCGCCTTCTTTGGAGTTCCTTGGCCGAGCTGATCTTGTCCGCTAAGAAGGAAGTCGCGGAGTGGACCTAGCTCGCCTTCTTTGGAGTTCCTTGGCCGAGCTGATCTTGTCCGCTAAGAAGGAAGTCGCGGAGTGGACCTAGCTCGCCTTCTTTGGAGTTCCTTGGCCGAGCTGATCTTGTCCGCTAAGAAGGAAGTCGCGGAGTGGACCTAGCTCGCCTTCTTTGGAGTTCCTTGGCCGAGCTGATCTTGTCCGCTAAGAAGGAAGTCGCGGAGTGGACCTAGCTCGCCTTCTTTGGAGTTCCTTGGCCGAGCTGATCTTGTCCGCTAAGAAGGAAGTCGCGGAGTGGACCTTGCTCGCCTTCTTTGGAGTTCCTTGGCCGAGCTGTTCTTGTCCGCCAAGAAAGAAGTGGCGGAGCGGACCTTGCTCGCCTTCTTTGGAGTTCCTTGGCCGAGCTGATCTTGTCCGCTAAGAAGGAAGTCGCGGAGTGGACCTAGCTTGCCTTCTTTGGAGTTCCTTGGCCGAGCTGATCTTGTCTGCCAAGAAAGAAGTTACGGAGCAGACCTTGCTCGCCTTCCTTGGAGTTCTTTGCCGAGCTGGTGTTGCTCGCCAAGAAGGAAGTCGCGGAGGGGACCTTGTTCGCCTTCTTTGGAGTTCCTTGGATGAGCTGACGTTGCTCGCCAAGAAGAAAGTTGCAGAGCGGACGTTGCTCGCCTTCCTTGGAGTTCCTTGCCGGGCTGATGTTGCTCGCCAAGAAGGAAGTCGCGGAACGGACCTTGCTTGCCTTCCTTGGAGTTCCTTGATCGAGCTGATGTTGCTCGCCAAGAAGGAAGTCGCGGAGCGGACCTTGCTCGCCTTCTTTGGAGTTCCTTGGCTGAGCTGATCTTGCTCGCCAAGAAGTAAGTCGTGGAGCGGACCTTGCTCGCCTTATTAGTGCGGTCACCGTCTTGCAGACTAAGAACTGAGGAAGAGTTACCCCGGTCAGATAGGTAATCCCAGTCACGCTTGCGCAGACTGAATTAAGGGGCAATTGAGAGAGAGATTTATGGTCTGGAATTGGGCCGTGGTAACGGCCGAGCAGGTTGAGAGCCTAATGGTGCATGGGGCCGAGATGACCGGCCATCCGCCCGGAGATGGGCTGCCAGGACTTGGGCCGGGCAAGAGTTGGGCCAAGTATGTGCCGCCCCAGACCGTAAAGAAGCTGCTCGGTAGGGCAGTGCTCGGTTGGACCGAGCTGCTTGATCAGGCGATGGTAGAGCCAGTCAAGCTGAGTGACCGGCGCCCGGAAAGGCGTGGTCAGCCGAGGTAATCATTTGATCGGCAGGAAGGCCGACCACAGGAGGTGCCCCGGACTCGGCTTTGCCGAGATGCCGCCTAGCCCGGTCCTTCTTGGGCTTAGCCAGTGAAGTGCTTGGGTATAAAGCACAGCACGACCGTGGATAGAGAAGCTCGGCTGCCGAGCTTCAGTTGAGGAGGCAGGCAGTTGAGATTAGGTGATGTTCAGCAAGGTTTATGCTGACAGATGGGATAGCGGAGCCACGTGTCAGGAGATGACTGGGAGTGGATATGGGGCGCAGAGGGTATATAAGCATGTCTGTGCTCTCCATACGCGGACAGACGAACATTCTGTAAGGAATTCCTACACTCTAACACTCATCTCTCTTTCTCTTTATCCTAAGGTGTGTGCTAACTTGACCGTCGAAGGGGTTTTCTGGCCACACACCGCCGGGTAGCTCACCGTTACTTGCTCGCAGGTGATCGGATAGAAACGGAGCTCTGAAGAAAGGAGTACGGACTTGCCGGAATATTTGCTCCCCGTACAGGT